AAAACTTAATTCAACTTTATCACAAGATAAACAATTTAATGTGATTTTTGACATTGCTTGTTCTTCACGAGAAAGTCAATATCTGGATTAAAACTTGTTAGTTTTAGTCTTAAATCATTCTCAACATTCAGTTTATTCCTATATTTATTTTTTAAATAAATTAAAGTAGAAAAAGCACGTTCACATAGATAAGTTGCGAAAAGCCCATCAAGTTTCTGGGTGCAATTTTAGCGATTTCTGGATAGTCTTTCTCGAACATTTAACCAGAAATTAGTTGACCATAGGAAACCTAGTTGTCTCGGGATCTAAATTACTAGAAAAATACACAAAAATATTCAAATTTACTTATGTTTATGAGTTATGACTTATCGTCGATCGGCAGCACGACAGGCTTAGATCTAAGACGAAAGGTAACATGAAGGATCTACTAATTTAGTGATATTTTGAACTTTTGGAAGATAATTAATTGAGAAAAAAAAAATTGGAAAAACTGGAATTGAATTGAATTGCATACTAAGTTTTGGGCATAATATATTGTATTGTTTTTTTTTGCCGTAATTCAAAAATGAATTTGATGCGGCTTAAAGAGTTAAAAAAGATTAATCATTATTTAAAATTGTCTTGGTAAGAAGAACTACAAAAAATCAACCTTGATAACGGAAAAAAAATTTAATTGTGAACAATGTTAAAATTTATGATTCTATTTAAAATAAAGCAAAAAAATGCCAACGGCACGTAGTGTTCCCAAGCGGTCACCCATCCAAGTACTAACTACGCCCGACGTTGCTTAACTTCAGTGATCGGACGAGAACTGGTGTATTCAACGTGGTATGGTCGTTGGCGTTGAGAGTGCTACAAATTACAGCATTTAAATATGAGATCATTTACAATATCTAAAATTTAAATTAATCAACAAATAAAATGTAGTTAATATATTTTTTGTGTGTTGTGATATAGGTCATTTTTATCATTTTCTAAAATTATATATTTTCTGAATAACATCAAATAATGTTACGAATTCTAAACAAGGACTGGTTCTATATCCTTTAACCGGGAAGGGGGAGCTAATTTAGGTTCAAGAATTTAATTACCTATCCGTATAATGTTTTTACTCATAAAATTTATATCAATAGTTATATCTATATATTTGTTTCAGAATAACAACATTTTAAATAGAAATATTGATATAAATTTTCATCCGAAACCATTTAACTATCTTTAAAATATATAAACATAAAATTGATAACAAAAATAATCTGTTTATTTAAAAAATATTTATATTACATTATTATAGTAGTGATCTAATTGTATATTTTACAGAGCAATTCAGAGCATTTAAATGTCCATAAATATTATGACCATATTTTTCAATGATGATTTTTTATACTTAATAATTTATACAGTGATATATCATAATATTCGCCTTAGAAAAATTGATAGCCTAGTCTTAAGCCGCGTTTACACGGTAACGGTGACAGTTGATGTTTCAATGTTAAAGAACTGTCATGGCAGTACTGTCACACTATCTAACGTGGCTAGATAATCGAAAGTAATGTCGCCGTGTAAACCACCTTTTAAGGGGGAGAGGGCTGGGCTAATGCCCTGTAGTAAATCAAGAGGAATGTGATTGCGCTATATATATTATGATTTATGAATGTAGGAAAAAAAAGCTATGGAAAAAAATCCACGAAAAAAAAGCCAAACTACAACAATTAAATATATATCAATTAAAATTAAAGTATTAAATTTGGTATATTATTTAAAAAAATTTTACACATTATATATTGTATACATAATTATTAATACACATGTTATATGTTATTATTTATTATTCATAGTAATAAATATATTTTAGATTCTAAACAGCAATGAATGTATTGATTTTATTAAACAAAAMRTTTAAATTAAAAATATAYATAAATTTATTTATTTCAAGATAGCATGTATTTCATACTGCAACATGTACATTTAAAAAAGAATCACCCTATACGAAGTATATACATTATACATATCTATGGTGTAAGACAAAAATCAATTGATTTCAAGATAATATCCACAAAATATTATTATTATTTTTATTCAATGTATATTAATATATTATATTAACAATTTTATATATGAATACGGACAATACAGTATGATCAACTGTGTTAAAATTTTTAAATTAATTAACATATAACGTGTGTATTAATAATATTATAAATACATATATATGTATATATTAAATATATGTATACAATATGACCAATTTTTAAAAAATTTTAAAAATACTTTAAATTTTATTTTTTTTGTATATTTAATTATAATTATTTTTTATATATTTGACCAATAATGTGTAAACAATTTTTAAATAATACCTAATTTAATACTTTAATTTTAATTGTTACAGGTATATTTAATTATTGTAATTTGACTTTTTTTTCTGACTACCATATATAATATATATTATTATTATTATATTTGAATTTATCTTCTTTTCATCTATGTGTGATTTACCATTGATATATATATATATTGTCCACGCATTCCAGTACATATATATGTGTGTCTATGTGTGTGTCATATGCAGACTTGTAAAGTACTTGAGTAAAAGTATTCAAATACTTGTTAAGTACTCAAATACGTATTCTAAATACATTTGAAAAAAGTACTTGGGTATATTATTTGAATACTTTTTTCAAGGTATCTGTATTTAAAATCAAATACTATTTTTAAATACTTTTTTCGTCTAACTTTTTAATTATTCTAACTTAATTAATCTTATTCTAATTAATTTAAGTAAAATTAGAGTTCTAAAATAAAAAAAATAATTTAGTTTATTAATAAATAATAATTCAATTTATCTATAAGGCCATTAGGCCAAGGAAAAAAGATAAAACATATTTTAAAAAAAAAGTATTTAAAACTATCTGTAAATACTTTTTAAAAGTATCTTTTACAAGACTCGTCATATGTGCACACGCATGCAAATACACATATTCGTATAAGGACTCCTATTAAGGCTATTATATAGTAAAATTAACTTACCATCAGTGGCGCCGAACCCTATATTAAGGTCGGGCCATTGCCCGACATATTTTGAAAATTTAAGATAGGGCCGCTTCATATTGACCATTTTCCTCTCCACGGTATGCCATTTTTTCCGATATTAAGATGTTGAGCCTCTTGAAATATTTTTTGCCCTACTAGATTTTTAGGACTTCGGCGCCACTGCTTACCATAGTTTGACTACAGATTTGTCACGTGTTCAATGAGTACAGGAATAAATAATAGGTATAATATTAATCAACTTATAATGCAATGTTAATCAACATGAGTGATATATTATTGATATTTGGTTAATACATTTATTATTTATKACACAAAGATACTTTAAAGTTTAAATACACATTAATCTATCAGCTCTCCACGTATGACCATCACCAAAGACCAAGGCCATAACTGCAGGGGGCCCCCCGGACCCCCCAAAATTTTAGCAGTGAATATAATTAATTAACTATAAATTGTATTGAAGAATAATTGTAAAAATGAAGTGTTTAGTATCTATATTTAAAACAATGTTGGACACCCCGAAATTTTTTTCGAGTTACGGCC